TTTCAATTTTTCTAATCTCTTGATTTCTTGTATGTTGCGATTTTCTTCTTTCCTATTTGCCTTCTCTAATTCTATGTGTTTTAATTGTTTTTCTTCTGTTGTTGATATCAGTGGTTGCATTCATGCTTGGTTGTTTTGTACTGCATAATTTTAGCCTCAAAGGTTTAATAATGACTAACACCATACCATTTCTTTATATTGTTTCGTGAAGGTTGCCGAAATTCTTGGTTTGCATAATGCTGCAATTCTGCCGAAGAGAGCAATTCAGGTCCATTTTTTTTCTTTTTAGTTTTGTCACACATTGAACGATTTTTCTTCTGATTTAATTATTTATTTTTTAGTTTATGTGCTTCTGTTTAACAATAGACATTATGAGAACTCTATATCATTCTTCTTGTTGAAAGAGTACTGCTATTTACAGGGTTTTGCTATTTGATTGACCTTGATTTTTGTTTTAAAATTTTTAAAATTGCTTCAGCAGATTATTGACAGTTTGTACATGAGAACAAAAGTTGAATTTGCAAACGAGTTAGCTTTGAGCAGATGCATGTGGAAATTTGTTGACATATAATTAGCCAAGCAAACTTGCTTGATATTTGATTTGTAAGATTATATGTTCTTTCTTGTTTGATTTTAAATTGATAAAGTTCTTTCCATTTGGTTGGTTAGTTTGGATCCAGAATTGCGAGGGAGTCAAATCGTAAGAATTTTGGAAGTAATCGTGCAGCCAACCAGGCATCTGCAGGAAGTGTAGTGATTAATGTACCATCTTACTTAAGTTGATATAGCGCATTGAAGCATTAAATGCTGGATTCAAGCTGACTGCAGCGTTGTTCTAGTCAGCTAATGTGCATCGCAGCTTTCCCATTCCAACAGCATTAGAATGCAGGATTGTGTTTTCACATTTCTTCAGAAAATTATGAAGCAGTGGCTGTTTGAGGATGGGTTTGACCCGCAGACAAAATCAGGCAGTGTAATGGATGCTGCCCTGATGTATGTTTTTGGTCCATTTTGAGAGTTCCTTTCTTGGATGAAGACGTTATTAGGACACTTTTGGATATTCCGCTTTGGGAGGTTGCCCATCTTGATCAACCAAGTGGAAAAGGCGATAAGAAGATTTTGAGAGAGGTCAGCATATTTCTTTTGCACATCATGTATAACCTAAAGTTTTGCTTTTGTTTTCAATTTTTC